AAGCAGGTTGATTAGCCTTTTGGCTTCACTCAAATGAAAGATTAAATGCCCTTAATTCCAATTATTTTCTTAATCCGATCCCACATAGTGAGCATTGCCATTGTTTTCGATCAATCATATGAGTCCTGTTTGTTGGTGTAAATAAATATCGTAGGCCTGACCTTATAATATTACTTCCTCTGCCTTGGCATTACACGTGTACAAATAATATAACAAAAGAAGCCGCCAACGTCCCACCAACTTTCGTTTGACAGCGTGGGCATGACGTCAGCATATTTGCCGTTTCCCAAGGGTCTGAAAGCGTGTCTGAGAGACTGGATACAGCTAGCTCATGCTGTCACCATACGTGTTCTTCTAGATGCTTCTCCACGTCCATAGTCATCTTCTTCCTCGAAAATTACAAAAATAAAATAAATATAAAATTAAGTGTTCAAGAACAATTGACCTGACCAAACATGGGACGTGGATGTCATTCATGAGTGTCTAGTGTCTGATCGGAGTGCATGAATGTAGTTTAGAAAAATAAATTATTCGACATCACGTTTATTAAAATCACATGGGCATGTAAAATGATGTGATTAAAAATATTGATTTTACGGTGTAATCGTGTGGCATTGTAATAGAGGAAGTTGGACTAAGTCATATAATTGACAGCTTAATTTGAAATCGAATTCGTCATTCACGAGATTCGAACTTAAGATCTCTCATTTCCAAGTGAAGAAAAATATCATCAGATTATAGTACTGAATAGCAACTAGTGGATCAATTAGAACAATTTGAATAATCATATCACACACTAAATAAAATGTTAATCATCAAAGGAGCATAAAAAAGTTCTAAATAGGCATAAGGTTGTTTTCAGGTTTGAAGGTCCAGTGGTTTTGGGTTTGAAGACCCATTGGACATTGACTCATTGAGCCGATTGATATATATTGTGTGACAACTGAAAATTCAAAAACCCATGGGCCTATAACCCCACCAAAATCGGCCACTTGCACTCCTGCATATACACTGTCGTATTCGTAGGAAGGCGGAGAGGTTGGATGACGGCGGACTAGTGCTTTCGCACCATAGACGCCACTGCATGTTCGTGGCTTGCTCATCAGTAGCCACTGTTATTCACTGTTATACAGTAACAGTGCCTTTTGAAGCAAAAATGTCATAGTTACCCTTGTCGTGGCCTCCAGATCACAGGGTATAGATCAAATATCTTGTGGTGACTAATAACACTCTTTTTTTTTTCCTTTCATAAATTCAAAAAAGTAATACTTTTAAGGACATTTATTCATTTGCGGTTGTGTTAAAATCCGCTCTACATTGTGCGATGATTCACATTTAATTTTGCACATACAATTAGAAAGATGATATACAATATGATTAATTAACTAGTGACGGTTGGCAAAGCATCTCACATTGTAAAGGGTTAAATGGTCCAGCTCGGGCTAAAGCCAGCCTAACTTTGGGACCGGACAGGAAATAATCGGTCAAGTAAAGCATGCCAATGTTATATATAATAATTAAATGGTCCATGATGTATTGAGTTGCATTAAGTTGGACTCCCACTTTAGCTTTTTCATGACATTGGACAATTCTGAAAATCTCCCCCTACATTTTGGAGTCAATATTGTCGTCCCAACGTATATGACAAAGCAACTTTTAAAAAAAGAAGCCGATGATGTGATTTAACTTTGGTACTAGTGAATTGTGTTGTCTTTTCGCATCGTCTCGATAAGCTGTGGCTGATCATTGTTGCAATAATTTCATGTCCAAATGATCCACGCAACTAGAATTTCAGATGAGAAGTTCTTCAATCATTTGGGTAATAGATGGCATGCATCTAGTTAGTCATTGTAATGTAATTGTAAGGTGTCACTTAGTATTACGATCCAGTAATGTTCTTTTTTATTTGTATTTAAGAGGGTTTAGGCTTGAATTTTGTAAATAAAAGATCTTAGGTTTGAATTCTTTAAATTGTAAAATAAAATGACCTATAAATTATAAATGATTAGAACATATTGAAAACGTGAGGAACAAGCATGTAATGTGTCACATCCCGGCCCGAGGTCCACCACATCCCGGGCCCACTTTACCACCGTAGCGCGATATTGTCTGCTTTGAGCCCCGACCTCGCCCTCACGGTTTTGTTTCTGGGAACTTACAAGAGAACTTCCCAGTGGATCACCCATCCTGGGATGGCTCTCGCGCGAACTCGCTTAACTTCAGAGTTCCTACGGAACCCGAAGCCAATGAGCTCCCAAAAGGCCTCGTGCTAGATAGGGATGAAAATATACATATAAGACTCACTCCCCTGGGTGATGTGATATCTTACATAATGAGTGTTTATTCAAGAATTCAATAAGTATCTTAGATTTTATTGAAAAAAATAAAATGCAAAATGAAAGTTATTGATTTTCTGTCTAAGTGAAAGTCACGACCTGGGTAGGTGCCTAGGTGGGTCTAAGCAGTCTAGGCACCATTTCTTAATTTCCAAACGCCTAGTGATTAATCGGGGCAGTAGATAGTAGCTTAGCGCTTAAGCAATGCTAGGTGGGGATAGAACAATGTTTCTACTTGCAAGAAATATATCGATTTATGATACTCCAATTTGTTTAAAGTATAAAGTTAAAAAAACTACTATTTTTAGCAAGATTAGTTATTTTCTGTCAAACATAAACTTCATTGATAGAAGAAGATGTCACATAAGATAAACATAAAAACAAGCTGCAATTAGGCCAAAAGGATAAGAAGCCCAAGCCAAGCACATACTGACTTATTCAGACTTAGTCCATTGACACAAGTAGACACTACCATAACCACCGTGCACCTCGCCATTCCATCGCTTAGGCCAATAGATTCATCATCAACACCAACAAAAACCAAAGGCCCAAAACAAAAACACATACAAAGCAGACCCAAATTAAAAGCAAAACAAATTCCTAATTTCACAACATCCAAGATCCACAAACAATGCATTAAATTTCTCCAAAAACACTAAGCCAATGAAAGAAACAACCATGTCCACTTAGGAAGCTAAACGAAAATATCTCAAATCTCCAAGAGATGGCGGAAAACCAAAACGAGGGGGACCAAATGGCCAAACTAAGGCTGATCTTAGGCCCACCACCACCAAAAATTAGGGATTGGGGGCTCTCCGCCGATAGCTCCCTAACTAATAGAGATGTGGGGAATATCATATTCCATGGAAATGGAAATGGATATGTAGAGAAGAAGGGAAAGAGGGAGAGAAGAGGGGAGAAACGTGAAGGGAATGGGTTGCCACCGACCCCAAAGGTAGATGGAGGGGACGGCGGCAGGAATTGCTTCTTTTCTTTTTCTCTCTAGTGCTTTTGTGTTTCTAAGCAAAAGTTAAGGAGAAGCCATTTTCAATAATATAAAAAACGATTGTTAGCTCAAGAACTACTAAAAAAGTTCTTGAAATTTCTCACCGTGAGCAATGATGACGCTAGAGAACACGTCTTTGAAGATCCCGATAGTATGGAGAGAAATATGCTAGCTCATTAAGTTGTATAACGTGGAATACAACTTTTTTTTTTTTTTTTGTTGTTGTTGAGAATTTTCGATTTCTAGCTACTGGATATGTTCACATTTTTTGGTTGGTTGTTACTCAATGTATCGGTTGATTGCTACCAAATACTAGTAGTGATGATGAACTTCCAATATGCCGCAAAAAGCAACCAAATATTTTGAAGATTTCCGATTGGTGGCTATTGCATCGTTACATATTGTATAGGGCATCCTCGATAATAATTTCTTGTTAGAGAAAACATATCTTTTCATATTGAATTTTAACAAATTGTGGGATCGTAATACAACCATATAGAGAATCGTTAAGGGAATTAAGTACCCATACAAGTCTAATGACGTTTCCACAAAGCAAAAGCACTACTTCATCCAGATTCATGCGTTATGTATTCACATTGCGATAAATGTTTTTTTTATGATCTTTCTAGCCATGACCTTTGTAATTTTGTATACACGTAAAATGCTGCATGAGAGAGAGAGAGAGAATGAATGTGACATATCATGGTTTCAAGTGATTTTTGTTTGTTTTTTTACCTAGACCAAATGTGACATATCAAATAATATGGAAGGACAGCAAACCAACAGCCAAGCCTAAAATTAAAGTATCGATACATCCCATAAAAAATCCAAATAAATGGATCATAAAAAATAAAACAAAATAAAAAGACATGAAAAGAAAGAGAGGGAATGCTTTTATAAAAGTACGTAGCATTGACCAATATAAAATATAAATAATAAAATTGAAATTTTAAAATTTAACAGTTGTAAGAATTAAACTTAACGATTAATACTTATCATAACATTGACTCATACATAGCATTAAATGGGAAATGAGAGAGTGCGATGTTCAATGAATTTTGTTAGTGTGCTTGGAACATGGGATGATCCATCATATATTATATAAGTGAAATTTTTTTTTATTTTTAAGTGTCCATTTCTTTGAACAATGATATGTGGTGTACCATCTCATGTTCCGGGTACATTGAAAAATCTTTTCTGTTCAACACACATTTGACTCGATTCTCGTCAAAAAGTGAATTCAAACCACATCATTATTGCTTGTCCACTACAAGAGGGCTCGTTTGGATGTCCTTTTAAAATGATTGAAAAAACTTTTAAAGAAAATATTTTTGAATTTCAAAAACACTTAAAGTGCTTTCTCAAAATTTATTTGCATCTTTACTAAAGAATGATTTCAAAAACATTTTTACTAAAAACACTTTCAGTCATTTTAAAAGTATATCCAAACGAACTCTTAATCTACTTTCTCTTGTTGATAATATCGTTTGTTAGAAAGGAAAAAAAACACACACACATTTGATAAAAATAAAATCAAAATTGGTAAATCTTTCATCAAAATTCAGAATAAAAAAGTAATAATAAAAACAAAAGTAATTTCTTTCGGGAAAAAAAAAAAAATTTCCCCACTCAAATTTATTATTAATTCACAAATCACAACCATATTATTCCGATTTCTCAATCTCTCTCCCTCTCCCCTTCTCTCTCGATCTCTCCGCCTAATATCTGTTTTCGTTTTTGTTTCCAAAATAATTCCAACTCCACCAATTTTTTGCAATTGAATCGATCGAATCCGATGAGCACAGGCGAGCTTCTCAGCATCGAGCCTCTGGAGCTCAAGTTCCCCTGTCAGTATAACACGCTCTCTTTCTCTTTCGATCTGTTTTTCGTTTCCAGAAATTTGCATGTTGTGGTTTCGTTTCTGTTTTCAATTTGTGTTTTTTGTTTTTGTTTTCAAATTTCTCCAGTCGAGTTGAAGAAGCAGATCTCCTGTTCGCTCCAGCTCTCGAATAATACCGATAGCTATGTCGCCTTCAAGGTCAGCCTCTTTTGTTTTTCCTTTTGTTTGTCTGTGTGTGTGTATAAATATATTGTAATATACACTGTTTGGTTGTTGGGAAAATGTAGGAAAAAGGAGAGCACTAAGAATGTGATGATTTGCTTTTCTTTTTGGAACCTGAAAAATTACTGTTTCCACTTGGTTGTACTTAAATTTTTGTTATTTTTAAAAATATTTACGTGTTTTTGTAATTCGTACAACATCAAATCCGTAATTCGAATTGGGTTTGAATTTTATCTGTATTTTGATAATGCCAGGAGGCTGGTAGAATTTGAATTTAGTTTGTGAAATTTCTAGTTTTGCTTTGGAGGTTTGATATTTATTTGATTATGTTCAGGTCAAAACTACGAACCCGAAGAAGTATTGTGTTCGTCCGAACACCGGAGTTGTCTTGCCTCGATCCACATGTCATGTTATAGGTGCATACTAATTATTATTTGTTTCTGTGATACATAGATTCATAATATACATTATCGGTTTCTTTAAATATTATTTGTTTGTTGCAATATAGTTACAATGCAAGCCCAAAAAGAGGCTCCTCCGGACATGCAATGTAAGGACAAGTTCCTCCTCCAGAGTGTAAAAACTAACGACGGTGCAACGACAAAGGATGTTACTCCTGAAGTGGTAGTTATATCACAGAATGTTGTTAGTAATTTAGCACTGATGTTTTGTGTACTTATGCCGAGTTTTATTCACTGTGGAATTGGCTCTGTGTAGTTCAATAAAGAGGCGGGACATGTGGTTGAGGAGTGCAAATTGAGAGTGGTATATGTTCCTCCACCTCAACCCCCTTCTCCGGTTCCAGAAGGTTCAGAAGAAGGGTCTTCACCAAGGGTTTCTGCTACAGAGAATGGAAACGTGAACATTTCTGAGTTTTCCAATGTGAGTACTCGAGTTATGAGACCATCCGATAGTTTTTTTGTCTTCAGGCAGCAAAAAGATATTGACTGGCATGCGGTTTGTTGATGATTACAGGCTGCAAAAGCATTTACTGAGCTTGAACCTCAGGAGAGATCTGCAGAGGTACAACATCATGTCTGAGTATATGTGTCTTATACCTTATCCAGTTTCTGAATTTTTCTTATTTGTTGTTCAGAAAGTCTGGTATGATGTTGTTAGGCCAGATGATTGTTACATTAATGTCTGTTTATTTAACTTTTATTATTAATTATGACCAAGACTGTGTTAAAATTTGCTACAAAAATTGAAAGTTGGTTTTAACTAATAAGAATGTCAATAAACTTCATGCGAACTTTTAGTATCTTTGTTTTTTTTTTTTTGGCTAATGGGTTTGATGTGGAGTAACACAATTTGTCTAGCCTGATATTTTTTGGTGAACCTCTCTTCTTCTTCTGTTCTGTGCTTTATTATACTAAAATTATATCTTAAGTGCAATCCTTTTACAGTGTGATTCATTTTATATTGTGAATGTTGGTCAAATGTTGGCTCTACACGGAAGTTGAGTTCTTTTGTATGATATAACAGTGCATGTTGTACCAAGGTATTTTCTTTTTCTTTTTATTAGGTTTTGCATTTGTATACTTTCAGAATTTTAGTATGGGATGTGCTCTTTAACGTTTTTTATGTTCTTAATGACTTATAATAATCTATAGAGCCGAGTACCTTAAGTGATGAATAAAAATAACAGGCTTTTGGTTTGTTTTCGTTTACCTTGAAAAAGGCAGTTTGTGTTCATGGTCTGTTTTTGGTAACTTGGTTTCTTACACATAAGTATATGTATGGTGTTACAAAGAAAACTACGGTTTACATGTTCTGGATTAGGATTAGCCCATCATTTGAGAAAGGACTTGAAATATCATGGTTTTTGTCCCTCGTTCTGTCACCTTCCATGGCTCTTCCCTGAATTTGAGGCTTGTCCGTAAATTGTGGAATGTTTCCAGATTCCATGTTTTAGTTTATCCTGATTGTTCCTTGGATGACTAGTGTTTTCTCGCTCATTGACTGCCCTTGAGATCTGGTTGCGGGATCTCAAAGCATCATAAACATATCAGAAATCTTAACTATTTTATGATTTTAATGGGGGTAAAAAAATCTTACCATTTCTTGCAAATGAAAGAGTGTATGTATTTTTTTTTCATTTAGACAGCTTCTTTTGTGTTTTACCTTCTTCCCAAAGTTTTGCTTCTACCAATATCGCAATCTGTCTACACAGGATATCTCCCTAAGTAGTAGTCTACCACGTAACTAGTGGTGCTTGCAGTGCTGCTTCTTATATACGTTTACTTTTAAAATTGCAGGCAAGATCACTTATTTTGAAATTGACGGAGGAAAAGAATAAAGCAAATCAACAAAGTAACAGGCTTCGTCAAGAGCTGGTGAGGGCTTAGTATGCAACTTTAATGGAATTGTATTTGTTCTCTTCTTTACCCTTTTTCTTTACCTTCTCACCCTTTTGTATGCATATTTCTCCTCGAAAACATATGCCATAGTGATTATATAGTTCCAATTTGCAATGTTCATAAATTGGTATATCATAAAGTGGGATGTAATTATGGTTTTACTTCGTTCATTCCCGTTGACTGTTCCCAGAAGCTTAAGCTGTTAGGATGTGATCCAATAAGATATATATATTCGTACACTATCCCTCATATGTGTCTCTCTCCACCACTAGAGCCCCCAGTAGATGTTAAAGTATGTTGGTGACCCCTATTCCCAAAAGTTTTGTTGTATATTCTAACGATATCAATAGAAAATCTAGCAGCTCTATAAATTCACTGTGTCATCCTCACCTTTTCCCTTCCAAATTTATGCAGTACAGAAATTCCTCAATTTAGTTTTTGACAGTTTCTGATATGATTTCTGATATATGTTTTATTTGATAAAATGCGCACCAAGAGTAGATGAATTAACCACTCCCTAATGTGGGTACTAGGTCTTGAATCTTGATAAGAAGTCTGAGGGTAGATTTGTTTATGGGAGTTTTAACGAAAAGCCCATGGTACTGTTCATTTTATTGGAAAACCACATTTTAGCACTAAAAAGTTAATCCTGGTACTATTCACTTTACCCTTTATTTTGTCATTATCATTAAAACTCAAAGTTTTCAAGCCCTTTTCATTAGTTTTTCTTTTGTTTATTTTAGTTGAGCTCCTTAATAAGGTTGTTTCCGAAGCAATGTGAAGACAATTGTTATTTCTTTGATTTTTACTCTTCTACCTTTATCATGTTCAGGGTAAAAATGCAAAAGGCTTCACATTGTTTCTTCCACTGATTTCACTGTATCGGATTGTTAACTCTCTTGCTTCCAAAAGATTGTTGCGTTTTTACTTGCTAAGTTATTGTGTAGGAACTCTTGAAGCGTCAAGGAAGCAAAAGTCGTGGTGGTGTTTCAATCCTTTTCGTCATTATTATTGGCTTGATCGGATTACTTCTGGGTTATCTCATAAAGAAGTCGTAAGCACTCTGTTAATCTGCTGTCAAATTGTTCCCTTCTCAGTCATTGAAGAATGATGGTGAAAGGGAGAAATTAAGGAGGGGAGGGTGGCTCATTTTTAGTTAGCGTTGCTAAAGTTTCGAAACTTGTTTAGGTGGGTCTTGATCGATCTTAGGTGCTGGAACTCTAGATTAGCGTGTGGGACTGATCTTCGGAAGGCTTACATTCTCATTGTAACTTAAAGGGATTAATTCACTTTGTTTCTGTTGTGGTTCGACGTGAGATTTTGGTTAACTGTATCTTTGATGGTTAATAATTTAGGATGAGGTTCCTCTCCGGATCCTCTTTGTGAGGATTCCGGGATCACTTTATGAACGGACATAAAGTGATCTCCGGGATCCTCATAAATAGGATTCGGATAGTATCCTATTCCAATAATTTATACATCTCACTGTGATGTAAAACACATGTTCGGTTGTTTTATACTATTGGTGTTTGTTCAATTTTGTTAGTAGCTATCTATGTTAATTAATCCGGTAGACAATTGGATCTGTAAATAGAATTTAACCATGTCGGTTTTAGGGACGTTATTATCATGGTATAAATAGATGATAAGAACAGCATTTTGCTTAAAAATAAGGAATGCGTTATTTTCTTCTCTAACTTGTTACTAATTTAAAACAAGTACCATCTTTTGGATACAATCTAATTGTTATTGTAGGAACTTTAAAACGTACGTTCTAAAACAAGTACAAAATTGATGCAATAACATCACCCGTTTCAGCACAATAATAATCCAAAGGAAATGCTGTCGTTCGGTTTTTTTCATCTTAATTTCATTACTATTTAGTACTTACCATATATTCTTGACATCCACTGATTCTCCTTCCTAACAACTATCTAAACTACTAATGCTATTCGTTTGTTAAAAAAGAACTATATATTCTTGCGGTTGTTGCAACCTATTTGTAGTGAAGGAAATAGGAGACGGTGCGGCACAGGGAGAGGGAGGGAGGGAGGGAGGGAGGGAGGGAGGGAGGGAGGGAGGGAGGGAGGGAGGGAGGGAGAGAGAGAGAGAGAGAAGGGAGGCTTGAAAAAATTTGGGTGATGATATTCCTCATATCTTGTGCTTTGGTTTAAACTAATCATCACATGTTTTATTTGACCTACAAGTATTACAAAACCCAATAGGAAAGAATCTTGTAGATTACATAGGTTTCCTATATATATATATATATATATCTACTTAATTAGGATTTACAGAATCATACGCATAATAGGAATATAACTACAACACTCCCTTGAGTATGTAAATACTCAAGTAGTTTGTGCATCAGATCTTCATGCAAATGTAGAAGCGGTTGATAAAGTTGTATCGTCTAATCAGCATAAGTAGCAAACGCGAGTCTCAAATACGGAATGCATATAGGAGTAGGTCTCATAAAACTTGTCTATGGTAATAATCAGTAACACAAACCCATGAGGAGAAAAGTGAGTTAATGCATTCTTGTCAATATATAACATGTTTGGTACATAAGTTGGACACACACAAGGGTATGACCATCTCAGAGGAAGTGCCTCGTCAAAACTTTGTTAGGCAATAAATACTTGAAGTAAAAATGTTCCTAAGGAAAAAAGAGTACATTAGGTCAAATGACTTCAGGATACTCATCCTAAGTTCGACAAAACTTCCTTTAAGAACTATAAACATTGCAAATCAAATAATTTATGCATACTGATTTTTTGGACCAACTTCTGGAAGGTTGACTTCAGCAAAGACTTCGTGAAGAGGTCGACAAAGTTATCTTGGGATCATATCTGTTTAACTTCGACTCAATATGTTTGGTGTTGTCTCCCTTGATGTATCATTTCTTAATTTGGTTGATACATGCAGTGTTTCCTCTCAAGAAACAATGCGGAATTTTCACAGTTTCCTTCATGGATCGTTTTTAGGACATCAACGACAAATTAAATGTCCGCAATATGGTGAATAGTTCTATCCGAGTCAATCATATCCAAGTATTGGGTTTTCAAGTGGCACTCCACATGTCATAATGCAAGTGGAGAAAATGATATATTTTTTCGTATCCCTTAATTTACATGAAGTGCTTGCTTGACATTGGGTACTTTGAAATTTGGGTAAATTAAACTTTCATACCTCAAGTTTGTGGTCTATTTCAATTCCTTACAACATCTTCAAAACATTTCACTTTCACACCTTAAGTACTATTTTATTTCAAAAGAATACATCCGTTACATTTTCCATCTATTGATCCGTTAAGCATTGATGTGGCCACCACGTGGCTGCCAAATGTGTGCCCCCGTGGCAAAAAACACAATATTTTAATTTAAAAAAAAAAAAAAAAACTGAAGTTAACCCCCCCCCTCCCCCCCCCACTCTCCTCTACACCCCCCAACTCCTTAAATCCACATCCATTCCATGAACCGGCGATGGCGAGATGGGGTCTGAGGTTTTTTTTTTTTTTTTTTTTTTTTGGTGTTGCAGGTTGGGGGGGGTCGAGGGAAGAAGATGAAGATGGGGGAGAAGAGAGGGGAAGAGGGGGGAAAGACGGTTTTTTTTTTTTTCCCTTCTTCTTTCTGGGTTGCAGCGAAGAAGATGAAAATGGGGGAGATGGGTTTGGGGGTTGCGGGGAGAAGACAGGTTTCAAGGTCTTTATTTATTATTTTTTTTGTTCTGGGTTGCAGGTAGGGGGGTCGGGGGAAGAAGATGAAGATGGGGGAGAAGAGAGGGGAAAGACGGGTTTTTTTTTTTTTTTTTTTCTCTTCTCTTCTTCTTCTCTTTCTGGATCGTTGGGAAGAAGATGAAGATGGGGGAGATGGGTTTGGGGGTTACGGGGAGAAGACAAGTTTTAGGTTTTTTTTGAGAAAATTCAAGTTTAAAAAAAAAATGAAAAAATTATTATTTTTGCCACGTGGTATATATGTGGCAGCCACATGAGTACTTAATGGATCAATGGATGAAAAATGTAACGGGGTATTATTTTGAAATAAAATAGTACTTAAGGTATGAAAGAAATGTTTTGAAGATGTTGTAAGAAATTGAAATAGAATCCAAACCTAATATATGAAAATGTAATTTACCCTTGAAATTTTCTCGAGGTCATGGCAACTTCGAATAAGAAATCCAATATTTTCTTATTCATTTTTTTAACATATAATAATTTTTTTTGTTTAATTTACATGACATCACAAAACTAGATATTTGAGATTCACTATGTACCACGTCATCAAACAAGCAGAGATATTTTTACAAAAGTTAATGGTAAGACTAATAGTGCACGTCTTGTTAAATTAAAAGATGTAAATTAACACAATTTTAGTTTAGGAACAAATTCTAAACTTGAATGAAAGTTCAGGGACCAGATTCTAAAATTTTAGATAAAATCTTTTGGCTTCTAGAATTTTCACCATCTATCTAGACATGGTATGGAACCTTCTCCAATCCTCTGTTTTCCCCTCCTCCACGGTTCCCCTGTGATTATCACATCGCATGTGTCTCCTCTATATAAAACCCCTTCACTTCGATCCGCCTTCAAGCCCAACAAGTTCAAATCCAAATTTCCATTCACAAACCGATCAAATACCCCAAATCAAAGCATCGTTAATCTCTTTTCTTGTAGAACAAAAATGGCTGCGTCAATGTCAATCCTTCTCAAAAGGGCCGCAGTACCAGCACCAACCATCCTCTCCAAGCTCTCCAACCCCATCCGTTCTGCCTCTGTATCTCCCCTCGTTTCTCGGTCTTTCAACACCAACAGCCAAGTCACCAACTACGATCAGGATGAAAGCTCAGTCCCCGTCGGTCGCGGCACAGCAGACATGTCTCCCTCCCGCCGCCGTGACCTCGGTTCTCCCTTCTTCTCAGGTAGTTGTTATCTGTGTTATCTTTTCTTTCCGCACTTCTAAAACGGTTCCATTTGTTGATCAGATATTTGAAATTCTTAATTGGGTTTGGTTTTCGATCACGTATCTTGATTGGGTTTTGTTTGTCTTGTGAGTTGCACTCGGATTTCTCCAATTGGGTTTTTTCTCGGTCAAAATTCTGAAATTCTGAACTGGGTTCTGTTTCTGTTTTGAATTCCCGGTTGGGCTTTCCTTTTGATCAAACATCTCAACAGGGTTCTGTTTATTTTTGTGAGTTGCAGATGTGTTCGATCCGTTTTCTCCGACGAGGAGCTTGAGCCAGGTTCTGAACATGGTGGACCAGTTCATGGAAAACCCATTTCTGGCAGGGCCACGGGGAGGATCGAGAAGGGGATGGGACGTGAAGGAGAACGAGGAGGCTCTATTTCTACGAATGGACATGCCGGGACTGGACAAGGAAGACGTGAAGATCTCGGTGGAGCAGAACACGCTGGTAGTAAAAGGGGAGGGGAAGGACTTGGAGGATGAAGACGGCGGAGCGAGGAGATTCTCGAGCAGACTGGAACTGCCTCCGAATCTGTACAAGATCGATTCGATTAGGGCTGAGATGAAGAATGGAGTTCTGAAGCTGGTGATTCCGAAGGTAAAGGAGGAAGAGAGAAAGGATGTGTTTGAGGTTAAGGTTGAGTAGTTGAGTAGCGACCGACTGGAGAGAGGGAGTTGGGTTTGGGAGTCTCTGAATTTGATGACTTGGGATCTTTGAGTTAGTTTGATGATGTAAATTTGCATTTTTCGGTTTTGTTTCTAGTCTTTCTATTTTCTTGGATGGTTGGACTTCGGAGCTGAGCTTTTGGATAAATAAAATGAAAAGGGTATTTGCGCTTTTAATGGAAGATTTTAGAAAAAAAATAAAAAATTTCTACAAAGTTTATTCTATTTTTAATGTCGATAATATCGTTTATTAAAAAAATATGTACTTGATATCTGATTGGGCGTCGGTTGTTTCCGGGGAACTGCGGCTCAAAACTTAAGCCTCCCCCCTAAACAAAAATCAGAAGGGAAGACCCCAATGTATCCCAGCCATAACCTCCCTGCAAATGTTTGTGGCTTCACAATCTCTCGTTTATGAAGTTGTGTAGGTTTATACGTTGTTCAGAAACATAACAGATGAGTTATGGTGATTGTTCATCATCCCTGTATATACGAGTGTTGGATTTTTCGTCCTCAACAAGTAGTTAGGATCAACAGGCTTCTTATGGACCAAAAAGAAGCACAACTGCAACTCACAATGTTCATTGACAACAGAATCAATTAAAAGGAGAATCAAGAGACGGAAACAATGGGATAAATTAAGGGTAAGTGATTTTCGCTCCTTCTTTCTCATCATACACTCCTCATTTCATGTAGGCTTTGGGTTAAATAAATTAAAGGAGAATCAAGCGACGGAAACAACGGCAACTCCATAACCCAACCTATACTTTTCTTCTTCTGTCACAACCCTCGGCTTCGCTTCCTCTTTCTTCGTCGTCTTATTTTTCTTAAACCCGTCTTTACCATCACCTCCCTCATCCTCCAAACCCTTAACAGGGTCAAAAATCTTAATCCCTTCAAAGAGACTAATATGCCCAGGCTTCAAGTCCACCGCAGCAGACTTCGATTCCACTACTGCAGTGGGCTCCTTCCCTTGGATCACCGGAGCCAAGCCACGGGCAGTCCGGACCTGTTCAAGACGAAACTCAGCATCCCTTTTCCGCGACTGTTGGCGCTTGAGCTGCTCCTCTTTGGCGGCAGCCTCTTCGTCCTGCCGCACCTTCTCTCTGTTATCCAAGTTGTACACATTCTACCGCTTCTGAGGCAGGATATTCAGACCTCCATGACCTCCCATCAATACTTCTAGTTTCACATTACACTCTCACCTGCATATATTATGTATTCGCAAAAGAAAAAAAGAAAGAAAAAAAAAAAAGGTAAATTACACAGAATTACCAAAATTATTGATCATTAATAGTTTCATACCTCGTATTTAAAAAGTTTTAATGTCATACCGTATCTTCGAATTTGTTGCAATGCCATACTTTTCGTTAGTTGTCTGTCAATTCCTTTGTTAAATGCTGACGTGACACACTTTCTATTAAAAAAAAAAAAAATATTATTAAAAACTAAAAAAAATCATTTAATATTTTTTAAATATTAAAATAATAATTAATTAAAAAAAGTTATTTTGAAAAAAAAAAGAAAACCCCAAGTTCGCCTTCTCCCCCACCCCTTGTAACCCAAAAAGAAAGAAGAAGAAGAAGGGAAAAAAAAAACCCCAAGTTCATCACCACCCCAAGTTCTTGTACCAAAAATTAGCAAGTCGTCAACATATAAACATATTACAACACCATAATCATTTGTGAATTTAGAGTATATGCATTTATCAGCACTGTTATGTCTAAATCCATATGATAAAATGACAAAATCAAACTTTTCATGCCATTGTTTTGGTGCTTGCTTCAATCCATATAATGACTTTACTAATTTACAAACCTTCTTTTCATTCTCAAGGAGAACAAACCCTTCTGGTTGTTCCATATAGACTTCTTCATCTAAATCACCATTTACAAAAGTCGTTTTCACATCCATTTGATACACATGCAAATTATATAAAAATGCCAATGCAAACAACATTTTAATTGATGTGAGCCTATCTACTGGTGCATATGTATCGAAATACTCTATTCCTTTTTTCTGCTTAAAACCTTTGGCAACCAGCCTGACTTTAAATGTCTGAATAGGCCCGTCTGTATTGTATTTTCTTCTAAATACCCACTTACAAGCTATTGCTTTTGATCCTTGGGGCAAGTCTAGTAAAACCCATGTCTGATTAGATATTAATGTTTCAAATTCATCATCTATAGCCTCCTTCCACAAGGTTACATCTCTTGAAGTCAATGCTTCACTTAGACTTTTGGGATCATCCTCAACATTCAACAATATGGGTATTTTCTTAAGAACCTTTGTTCTATTTCCTTCGACTAAAAATACAATAAATTGAGATGAAATAAAATCAGAGTCTAGAGTCTTTTCTTTTCTTACTCTATGGCTTTTCCTTGGTTCATTAACAGTTTCAGATTGTTTTCTTTTCTCACCTTGAGAATGACTAGTAGCCAAATTAGAGAAAGGTGTTTGATCATTCTCGTTTCTAGACATTGAGTAGTCGTTATAAAATTTATTTTCTATAAATTAGACATCTCTAGACTCAACTACTGTATTTGTATCTAAATTAAGCAACCTATATGCCTTTGAATTTTCTGCATATCCTACAAATATGCTTTTAATTCCTTTTGGATCCAACTTGGATCTCTTAGGGTCCAGTGCCTTGTAAAAGGCTACACAGCCCCATACTCTCAAATATGACAAATTTGGTTTTCTTCATTTCCAAGTTTCATATGGTGACACATGAGTCTTTGTAGATGTAATTCTATTGTGTATATGGCATGCAGTAAACAATGCTTCACCCCATTAATATTTTGGAGTATTAGCATTAATCATCATAGAATTAATAATTTCAGTGAGTGTCCTATTTTTCCTTTTTGCCAAGCCATTTTGTTGTGGTGTATAAGGTGCAGTTTTTTGATGTACAACACCATGCTCTTCACAAAAAATATCAAATTCATGTGAAAAATATTCACCACCTCTATCACTATGAAGACATTTAATTTTCCTTCCCTTTTGGTTTTCAACTTCAGTCTTATAGCGCTTAAAACACTCAAAAGCTTCATTTTTATTAGATAATAAATAAAAATAAGTGAACTTAGAACAATCATTTATAACTGTGATACAATATCTTTTTCCTCCTCTTGTTAAAACACCATTAAATTCACATATGTCAGAATGTATTAAGTCTAATAAATTTTATTTCTTTCGGCAATTGGAAAAGGTTTCTTAGTCATTTTCGCTTGAATACATGTTTCACATTTATCATTATAATCATCATTGCAAGCAATTAAACCAAGTGTGCACATGTATTTTAAAGATCTAAAATTTATATGTGCTAAACGTAAATGCCATAAATGAGAGGAAGATTCAACATATAAGCAGAAGAATTCACTTTATTATAAATACTTAGTTTGAACATCCCATCACAAGAATACCCATTTCCCAACAAACATCCCATTTTTCAACATTATTAACTTGTCGGACTCTAGAACAGTCTTTATACCGTTCTTACATAATAAATTTGGAGACACAAGATTCTTTCCAATTTCTGGAACATGCAGTACATTAAGCAACGTCAATTTCTTCCCATAAGTAAATTGAAGTTCAATGGTTCCTTTTCCTAGAACTGTGGCGGAATTAGGATTCCCCATTAAAACATCTTGATTGTCCGTTGATGCTTCATATGTCTTGAATTGTGCCTTGTCATTGAACACATGTATAGTAGCCTTTGAGTCAAGCCACCAATCCAAGGATTTTATTGCCGCTGCCATATTCAGTTCGATAATCATGCTAATATGCATCATTGATACCATTGCAACAATGTTATCAATTTTAGAGTTTTCCACCATATTTGCGCTATTGGTCTTATTCGCATATTCCTCACTTGCTTTTTTGTATCTACAATCATGAATATAATGGCCTTTCTTTCCACAATGATAGCAGACACCATTTGCATTGTTTTGATTGTTGTTGGAATTGGTCCTCTTAAACTTTCCTTTGTCATTTTTGACTTTGAAGTTCTTTTTATATTTGTTTCCTTCGACAATGTGAATTTTAGAGGAATCTTGATTTGCAAAATTCTTACCACAATTTTGAGTTTCCTCTTCAATTTGAATATCCTTTTGCAAATCATCCAAACTAATGTATTCCACCATGTGTAGAAGTTTCTTTCTATAGTTATTCCATGTTTGGGGTAATTTTTCCATAATAGCCCCAACTATCATAGGATCCGGAATAACTATTTTAAGTTCACGAAGTTTTGAGACCAAGACCAATAATTCATGAACTTGGTCTAGGATGGGTTTGTTATCAAACATAGTGAATTCATAATATGTGAACATTAAAAATTTATTGGTACCTCTTTTCTCAGTTGTGTACTTGTGTTCAAGTGCTTCCCAATTTTCCTTTGGAGATTGAATGTGTGCGTACAAGTCATATAAGTGATTAGATAATGTGCCTAAGATGTGTCCTCAACATACCAATTCATCTTCTTCACGCTTCTTTCGATCGGCAACTATTTTGTCCGAGTCTTTGTCACTTGGTTCACGAATAGACTCCAATTTCGGGTCCAGCACATGTATGACATTTAGAACAGTAAGCATGAAACACATCTTGTCCTTCCATCGGGTGAAGTTTGATCCATCAAATTTGTCTAGATAGCTTGTAGACATCTTGATTGATAATCTTCAAAGCCATGTTATCAGACCTGTTCTCCATGATGGTAATAACACTTTAAGATTGTTAGAGTAAATGTAGTATTATAGAGAATAATCCGAATAATGACTTTAAGCCTTAAAGGGTTATTTGCCCCCACTCGAATGAGTTTGCTAAAGGGGTTTTGGCAAGTCACTTCTAGGATACAACAAAGTATGGAATATTCGATTAGCAAAACCGAATTGTATTCCCTTAGAAATAACTAGAAAGAAATTGTATGAATGTGATGGGGAGAAAAGAGAGCAAGGAATGTAGAAACAAATTTCTGAAAAAATTGTGTTGAAGATATACAACTCTTCTTAATAGTGTTGATCCAAAAGACATGTCTTCTATTTAGAATTTTCAGAAAATAAATTTGACTAATTACATCTTTTAATTCTACTCATACAATTTGAATAAGCATCATGTCTTTTAATCAAAAGTTGCAACCATTCAACAAAATATACAAAGGTTGAATGAACATGGCTGTGCACTACAGCACCACACACATGTTGCACAATGCAACACCAAATCATATATATATATATATATATATATATATGATTTGACTAAGTTTATAATTAAAGCTCGAGCTTTGCACTAGATTCGACTTGTGTTTGACTCCTTAAAGGTCTTAGGAAACAATATAAGCTTGATATTGGTATGTTCGGTTTGTAAAGCTCCTAATCAGCACATATTTTTTCACAAGACAAGTCAAACTAAATTCTATTCAAGAAGTTGAATTGGATTGAAATATTATGTCGGAGATGTTTTTGGAGAATTATGTTATTATTATTTTTTTTCTAAGTTCAGATTGAATATTTTCAATTTGGATTGAAACATCATGTGGTAGATGTTTTTGGAGAACTATGTTTACTTTCTTTTATACGTTTAGATTGAATATATTTCAATTTGATTTTGTTTTCGAAAGACGGACAAGCGCGGACTAACTAATTGCAGTAAATAGCTAAAAAAGCTCGAACTCAATATCGAGCTCGGAGTTTTTATGCCTGGTTCATGTAAGAAACAAACCAAACCTAAACAGAATGATATTCCGTTTGGGTCAACTCGTTTAAAGCCGTATCTAGAGTGAAGAAAGTGAACTCTCAAGTAAACAGAAGATCGATCATTGCAAATTGGCCTTCCCCTCTTGGTACACCTCATTTGATTTGGTATTGCAATCAATAAAATGAGGCAATTAGTTTTATAACAAATCGATCCTACGGGTTTTTAGTAATTGCAGTCAACAGAATGAAATCAGAAAAAAAAGAAGTAAAAAACAAGGAGAGTGCAAAATAAACTATTTTGCACATCACTGCTTCACTCTTAACAATTCTACAGAATATGCCTCTATACTTATTGTTCAGTATGAACCTTCACGAATTCGGTAATTTGATGATTTCGTTTTTACTTGTGCACAATAAAATGTGAATCTGCAACACAACGTATGTGGGTGGTTAATACAAGAATCAGATGGTTACATGAACATACGCACATCCTACATACGGGAAATGTGTGTATGTAAACATGTAACGTGGAAACAAAAATCTCGAATAAATTCTAATCAGCTGACCACATCATGTACTTGCAAGGCTTAACCGGTGTCTCTGCATCACTTAGAATCGGTACAATGTGCTTACCTCGCAACAATCTCAACCTTCCATATCGCTATATCAGTCGGGTTCTGGATGCAAGAAGTTGTGCTGCTCATTGAAGTTGAGACGCTTACCTTGCAATTCGTGTAAGGTTCTCTATTGTAGATAATGGCCCTCTTAAAACTGTCATGGCATATTCAAGGGACATACTTGCTTGCACCAATTAGAATGTGGACTCTACTTCTGCCACAGTTTTACAAGTATTACCCCCCTCAGAAAATGAAGTCGCTAAGCTGAATACGTTTGCCTTTCTGGGAATTCCTACTGATAATATATCCACTCTCTCCCACATTAGCATTCATACAGTTCATACTATGCCTGTAGAATTAACAAGCCATTATAAAATCTGATATTGAAAGGCATAGGTAAAGGGCGGAAGGTAACAGTACTGATATGCTTACCAATCAAAGTGATCTTCGCAGCAAATAGATCCCGATATGATTGAAAGCCCAGTGCCTTTCCTGCAATACACGTGCACACTTTAGTTATTAGACACTATTACAGAACAATAAAAAAGAAATATACGCATCACAATCTTCTACTATTGCTTTGTTTAATCTCTTAATTTTTCTGTACATCGAAACATAGAAACTCATTCACTAGATTTGGGTGTGTTAAAAAATAATGAGGTTTGACACCCACAGCCACCGCTTAAAAATTGAGAGATTAAAGCTAAGTTCAAACAAAGCAAAAGCAACAGAATCGTCGATAATTCCAAGTTCAGGCAAACCTACAGGTAGCAAAATGGGACTAATCCGAAATGTAAGTGAAGAATAAGTAACAATTTCTATTCATACTAATTACGTACCAAGTTGCAGTATACATGTCATAGAACTTATCAAAAGCTTTATCAAAACAGTACTGGCATATCAAAAGATCCCTGATATCAGTCACCTGGCATGTTGATTTACAGCATTTCACCTACACAAATCAAATCAAAGTTCTTAAGCATCCTAAGGAAATATCACTAAGTGATAGGAACCAAAGGTTCCTTTATCTACCAAGACTTATAGTCTCCATGTAAATACATGTATCATGAATCATGATTTGAATCTTGAGTGACATTGTGGCTCTATCTTTTCACACCGAACATGGAAGCAAAATCAATAAGTAAATAAATGATAACCAATGCTACTTTTGTGAACAGAAGGTTGTTATTTCCACTTGTGGTCCCTACACTTGTATTAGAATTGCTAGACTCTAAATATTTAGCACCTATTGACTTTAGTCCCGAGCTGAGTCAATATCAGCACTCAGTTAAACTGAAACTGAGAGATGTTTTACAAACTCGAACCCTGTCAACCTGAACTATACCACAGGTCCATACTGGTACAACATCTCTTTATTTTCTATAAATCTTAGGAAAGCAGTGATGCAAAGTCAGTACCCACCAGACGAGAGAGTTTATGAGAATAATATTGTCGATGGGATGGATGTGTCTGTATATGCTCATTCAAATGACCTGCACTGAAAATTAGGATTATCAGTCCCAATGCTCTGGGTGTTTGCTTATGGAATTCAAACTTGAATTAAGATCCTCCCTGAAAATGTCGAGATTAATCAGCAAGCCATCCAAGAACAATAATATTCAAGCACTGTTTACTCCTGTTTTTACTATAATGAGATATTTGCTTTTTTCCAAGCATGATATCTCATCTTCTCACTTCAACTAAGCCTCATCAAACTTGTGTTGGAAAAACATAACAAAATAGAAACGAATGAATGGCAGAGAAGCTACCTACAACTTTCAAAAAAAAAAAAAAAAAAAAAAATTCAAATAACATCTTGAACCACAGTTGACAAAAGCCATTTTCCTAGTTTAATCAAATTAATGTACTAATATTATTGGTGACGCCACAAAAATTACAACATTAATCAGTCTGGTAACTGAAAAGTGAGAAGTCAAAAATTCACAAAGGAAAAAAAAATGGCTCGATGTTAAGAAATGTAGAAATGTTCAACCAAGACACAACCTTATATTATTCCGTAAGTCAACTTAATATCATTCCAAAAAGCGTAATTATAATGCTTACTTGTCACAGAGGGCAATCCTACAATGAAGGCAAGTGGCCAAACTTAGCGAGTTGTAGCATTCATTGCACTTTGAAGCCGATATGTTTTTGCCCATCTGGTGGCATCTGCTAACACAAAAAAGGCACAAAAGGGATGGTGACTCCACTCTCAAGTCATGCGATAAATAGAACAGATGGATAATGTTTCCAGTCAAGTTATAGCATACCAAGAAAAATCTAAAGGACGCAGCATAGTAGCTCACTAATTAAAAAGATCAAATGAACTATAAATGGAACAGTGGTTAGTCGAACAAATCCAATACAACTGGATATCATTCTAAGTTTCTAACTTTAAGCTAAGCACTATATTGCTAAAAAAAAAAGTGCCCAAATTGTTGAGGAAGTAAAAAAAAAAAAAGAGTTTGCAATATCAACTGCACATTTTTGTCTATGAGACGCCTAGCATTTCAAGTAATTACATATCCAGAATTGGGAAATGGAGACATCAGATGTCCAGAAGAAATTAAATTTCCATCTTAACAATCTATTTAACCTATATACACCCACATATATCAAACTCAATCTTAGATGAAAATGAAGTTGCTGATGAGATAACCAATTCCTGGTGAGTCAGCAGTTCTACTTTTTGTGGCAATGATTATTTAAACTTCTCAAGCATACCAGCTTTCAATAGACTCAACAACACATGGAGGTAAGGCCCAGTCCAATGATCTGGAGAGAAGGGGATCCCTGAACCCTTAAAACCCACATACATGTTTTGGTCATATAAGACAAGCCAAAATGCCAAAAGCACAAAAGAAAAAAGAATGTATTTGGACAATTATTTAAAAAGAAATTCTAAACCTTCTGTATAATGCAAGAAGGTCTGGGGGTATTGAATTGGCTTTGCTGTGGCCCAAAGTCACCTGAAAAAAAAAGGCATAGACTTTGACGAGTCATACCATCTATGTTTCCCTTCGTTTTCATAAATTACATAGCCTAATTAAGGAAACAATAAGGACGGTGTTTACAAAAAATATAATAAAAAAGAATAAAAGAGAACCTCGTTACTTTTCACCACCAAACAATCTTCAGCAAGGTGTCCAGGCCTTCTACATTTCCAACTACACAAACATGTTCACCATCACAGATGAATAAAGAGCAAATACCATCAAAATGTATACTGGAATAAGTGCACTCATGAACAGAAAGGAATTGCAAAAGGTTGCCTCTATCTGATGCATGGGCTCAACTTTACTGTCAGTTTTTACATTAGAGAAACTTAGACGGAGAATATATGTTTAACAAAATGAATACCAATCATAAGTAGAAAGAATGGAACTCTTCTTGGACCAGCAATGGCGTTCATAATCCCAAGTGTCCCCAAAATCATGCATCGGTAAGGTACATTTGGGTCCAGATGAGACATCTGGTCTTTGATTGCTCAAGGGGTCCTAAGAAAATTATAAACAGGCCCGTTTATTGAATCAATAAATTTAATTAAACATTACAACAAATTTGTAATGCTAAATACCTTCACAACTTTAAGAGCTTGCAACAGATCAGCTTTGCACTCCATGCTGCAGATATCATCATCAGTCTGTGGAAGCAAATAAGCACTACTTAGAGTCTAGAAATTAAAGTGCATGGGAGAAAAGGAGACTCAGTAAGTGTTAGTTTAAAAGTTTTGTTAATGCACTTCACATAAAAATTAAAATCATAACCTACCTCATTGCATATATATTCTCCGTATTTACCACACATGACACAAATAGGTTCTCCTGGATTAGGGAAACGCTGTTCAATTCTGCTTTTTACTTGATCAGATTCATTTAAGTGACCTGATGGAAGCATAGCTTCACATTCTGAAGACGTACTTTCATCACCTATATTTTTCAAATTGCATTGTATTGGCCAAAAAATATTAAAATCATAGAAATAGAGAAACTTCTACTCGTAGTCTAGCAGACCAGCAGCAAGGAAAAGCCACTGACTAATATCACAGAAGAGCAAGAGCAGAAAAATAGAAAAGTCTATAAAGATGGCAATACCCTCAGCAGATAAGTTGTTCCTGCCATCAACAGCATCTCAAATGTAAAAAGTGAGACGTGTTATTGGTCAAACAGTGAACTAACCAGTGCAACTTTACCAGTCAAAACATGAAGTTTCAAAAATTTTACATGCATCAACTTTTTCACGGTTCACATTTCAATCCGTTAACCTTCGGCGATCGACTTAAATGAAGTACATCTTTAATCAATAACATCCAATCGAGCAATACTGATAATTGAGCACCTATTAATCTTTTGTATTTTAGTTTCAATGAATTAGGAAAAACCGAACCCTTGAATACCAAAACCGAACTGCAAATAAAATTTTTAGGCTTAGAATATCACTCTAAAATAACTAAGTTAGCAAACTATTAATCAAATTCCGACGTCGCTGAATGCCTTGAAAATAGCACAAGCCCAAAAGAAAGCTTACTTACTATCATATTGCACCAAACTTAAGCACGACTTCGAAGTTCCCGGCTTTCCCTGCCACAACAAGAAACCAAACCTCAAAATGCTGACCTATATCAATAAAAAAAACCACAAATGCAAAACAAATTAACAGCAACAATTTCAATTACCAAAACTTCACAAGTTAATTCCTCGTAATTCTGCGATGTACAAACTTCTTTTCTGCTCATACATTTCACAAAAATAAAAAAAAATTAAGTAATAACAAAAGCAAAAAATCGCAATTTATAAAAATTAAAAACAAATTCCAATGATAATTGAAATTAGAAATCAGCAATTGCCTTCTCCTGTCTATGTAATCCTGGTGCGACATAGGTGCGTCTTTCTCCTCGATTTCGCGGTTCTGACGGCGAGGGGGAGGCGGTTTTGGTTTTGGTTTCGGATCACGACGGCGTTTGCGACATGTAGTTTCGCCATCACCGGCCGGCAGATGTTGAAGCGGCGGAACATCGCCGGTGACGACGTTGTAAGCTGGAAGTGGACGGAAATGAGTTAAAAGGAACAAAACGCGGCGTTTGTAGGGGAAAGGAAGGCGGTTGAGACGAAAGGGTAATAGTATTATTGAAGTTACCTTGGAGGTTTTGAAGAACGGAGGAAAGACTGAGGTCCTTCTTGTAAGAAATCGAAGGGTTCTTGTAGAAATTTGACCTCGTCGACATTTTCCAGCTCTCTTGCGTGTTTTGCAGAGTACGCACATGGAACGGCTGGCGTGTGGTTTTGATGAAAGAGAACGGAGGAGGGTTTGGCTTTTGATCGAACCAATTCTTATTCAAAACATTTTTGTTAAAAACGCTTCCATTGAGCCAACTGCATTTCTTTGAAAATATTTTTATTAAAAACGTTTTTGTTAGATCTCTTGAGTAAAACTCAAATTTAAAGTTATAATTCTATTTCTGTTGCAGTTAGATTAGGAAAGTGACTGCGTAAATCCTAGTATATATAAGGATATTCTTGAATGTTCTCTTTAATAGTTAATATCCTATTAGAGTTGTAATCCTATTCAGTTAAGAATTTAATCTTGCCTATTACTATAAATAAAGGCACAATGGGTGATACAAAACACACATCAGAATTACATCTTTCTCTTCTCTCTCCTACCGTCGGCCCTCTCCGTCTCTAGTCCTAAATACAGTTTAGTAAATTATGCCTACAACATGTTATCAGCACGCTCTTGCCAGAAGTCAAGGAACTGAAGGATCGTGGAGGAGCCTTTCTTCTACAACATCAAAGGCTTTCAATTATTTTTTGCCAATCAGATTTTTTTAAAAATAAATTAAGATATTTGAAACGACCTTGAAGCATGAAAACATTCCACATGATGCATGAACCCTTGTATTTATATTTTCCTCTCAATTATATATATTGCATATGTGTTCATAAATTTTGTCAATATATATATATTTGTTCATGCAATACGCGATAATGCTATGTGGAATTCGTGAGTCAAAACATCAAAATTAATTTAGAAGCACTTAGGGTTTTTTAACCCTAAAATTCGAAAAAAAAAAATATGGGAATTATTGCGGCATAAGCCGTGGTTCACCGCTGCGCCACTGTTGGCATCACCGCCGCCGAGCCCCGTCGTTGGCCTACATTGTAGTTGCGTGGAGCACCTTGGGACGATGTCATTGGACGTCTGGACCACACGGCACTAGCCCTTTGGGCTTTGCTGCGCATGCATGGCACCCAGGCTCTTGGCCTAGTTAGGGTTTTAAAACGGGCATGTAGCCCTAACCCACTCCAACAAGCCTGCAGCTCTGATGGGTTCACTCATGCGTCATTGGACCATCTTCAGCAAGTGCGATGCTTGTTGGGGTTGTCCCTTTCGCCACTTGCAGCAAGCCTGCTTACTTGCTGGGTCCCTGTGCCTCAGCCCGCGATCCAAAGGCAGCCTTTTGACTGGGCTTCTCGCACCCATGCCTAAATTAAAGCCAGCATTTGCTAGGATTCGCCCGCACCCTATACCCAGGCCCGCCCTCGTGTTGGGCTTGTGCTTCTCTTGCCAATTTTGTGGCCCAAAATCAGCAGCTTAGCTGCTGGGCTTATCCCAGACCCCGGCCCATAGCTTGCAACTATGATTGGGCTGCATTGCAACAAACCCATGGCTTACTAAGCCCCTTTTTTAGGGCCTTGCCCCACGCACGACGCCCAAGCCCACCGAGATTGGGCTATAATTTTAACCCGAATGTTATTATTATTTTTGCTTCTACAATCAAACCTGAATGGTTACGATTTATTTAACTAATTAAAGTGACTAGCAGTCCATTAATTTGATAATTAATCCAAAATTATTGACCTAAAGTTCACTTTTTGGTAATTAACGACTCAATAAATTATTTCTTTTCTTTGAACCGTTGACTATCTTTTGTAATTCAGATGCACTCACACTTGGGTTCCTAAAGCAATCTACAAATTCACTACACTTTATTGTATATTGTCTTTTGTGTTCTTGCAGGTACCCCTATATATGAACCTAACATTCATAACTAAATCGAACCTGTAGTTTTGAATTTAGTGTGTTTGAAACTTGCAGTTTTCATTCAAAACTTACCACATTAAACCCGTAGCTTTCATGTTTGAATTAAACCAATACATGTCTATAGAACCTGCATGTTCTACGATATATGTCTATGACTTTCCATACGACTAACCACGTTTTGTTGTACCCTCTGTTTTAGGGACATGTCGAACTTGAATGCCTGGAAATTTTCCGTATTATGTCCTTGTTTTGTTGTAGTTTCTGTGTTGGCACATGGCATTATTTTGCTTTGCTTGCTGGTTTTAGGTGTACTAATTCTGCTTTGTATAGTTTTTTCCTTCACAAAAGACTCACCAATTATTGTACCTTGTTCCATCAATTATATCCTTCAACATGTATCAACTAGGAAATAATGGATGCCAATTTTCTGATTACCTTATAATATGTCTAGTGTACTAGAATTTCATCACAATTCAACTCTAGGGTGCCGTTAAATTTGAGTACTGTTTCGATTCTAAATGTGCTTTGTTTTATTTTTCTTGAATTTCAAATACTTGGAAAATGATTGTCGGTGTTCATGTCTTACACCTGTGTTTTGTTACGAGTTAAGGAATTGGTGCTTTGTCAGGGTCAAGTAATATGAGAAATATGTTTGTGCTGCCAACTATGGTTTGCAATATATATGTAAATGTAATATAGAGAATAAGCATTGGATTTGGCACGTTGACTTCAATGACTAGGCACTGATTTTTTCCTAATTGTGAAGATGTTGCAGCTTATTAGAAGTTGTAAGGTGGTGACGACAGCACCCCATCCGATTTCTTCGCCTTCTATTTCAGTTGCCATTGCTCTAGCATATATGGAGCCCAGATCGGTTAATCTGGTTGATGCAGCTGATTTAGTTGCTCCCCAGTCCTCCCAGCGCCAGTGTTATCAGCCTCTTCAGTTGCGCTACCTGTTAGCGCCAGTCGTGGTCATTGCCGCCCCCGCACGCACGACACGACACGATATCGGCATCCACTACTCATGCCTCAGGGTCCCAACCAGGTAAACATGTGATAAATGCAATAACTGCTCGAATACATCTCTTATGCTAAATTTTGTCAATATTTACATTGCTAATCAAATTTGCCGTATTATGTTACCAGTGTTTGATATAAATGATTCTATTTGTTGGAGCATGAATGCCAATGGTCGGTTTACTGTTAAACCTGTGAATTGAGTTCAAAATAATGTAGCAACAAATAACTTAAAAACTGAGTTGCTAAATAGAATGTGGATGTTAAATGTTGCTCATCTGATTAAATTTTTTAGTTGGCTTTTGATTTTGGATAGGTTAGAAACTAGATATACACTATGTAATGTTTCATTACAATGTCCAGGGTTTGGGATTGTTGTTGATATCATATATTATTCATTACAATGTCTAGGGTTTGGGAATTGTTATAATTTTAGGGGAGGTTCTGCCAGAATTATGGTTTTATTTGTTGTATTTGTTTGAATGTTTTTTTATTTTTTTTGCAACAAAGAAAAATACTCAGGGACCTTGTCGCTAGTTGAAGACGACGAAGGTCACCCGGGTGACCAATGAAGGTATCACGATCGGATATGACGACTGACATTGGGCTACACCAACAGCGGAGTAGCATAGTGCATTGGCTTGTGACATTGGTCAAGTCGTTCAGACCTTTTGCCCTATGCAATGGAAGTCTTGGAAGGCGATGTCTTGGAAGGTAATAGAAGTCTTGGAAGGCGACGCACAGTTGTCGGTAAGTATCCTACCCTTTAATTGTTTGTTTCTTCAAATTTTATACATTTATATTACTTAATGTATGTAATTAATTTGTTACATTGCAGATGAACTACAATTTCGACGACATCAACGACGATATGTTGGTGTACGTCGTCAGACTTTTCGCTGAATGATACAAGCAGTGGAAGAGCAACTTGCACCAATATTTTGAGACATTTGATGATTCGTAGGTCGCTTTTGAGGAGGGTTGCCCGAAGGAATTTGAGGCCCGAGAAGATAGTTAGGTGTGGCTCTGCAGTCATTTTCAGGAGCTCGGTTATGTGGTACGTTTTTTATATTAAGTTTAAAAGTATTATACGTTTCTTACTAATGTTTATTGATTTTTTATATTTCATTTAAATTAGAACTAATACGTTTGTTTTTTGTATAACAGAAGAAGGCAAAAGCCAACAAGAGCAATCGAGAGAAGAAGACTCTTTTCCATCATTCTAGTTCGAGACCCTTCTCATATAGGATGAAGGCGTGACGGCAGGTAATAATAAAGTTTTTCATATTCAATTTTTAATATGTCAATAATATTAATTTTATTTTTGTACTAACAATTTTCGTATCTTGTTCTACTAAGGGGGGTTCAAAATTCCTGGAGATCGATATCTTTAGTGACATTTATGTTCGACCCCGGGATGAGTTGGCTGAGTCATTTCATGTAAGTATTCTTCAATTGTAATTACTATCTTATGCATTCAAGTATCATGGTTATTATTTGAATGTTATTATTAATTCATGTTATATTACGCAGGCGACTATGATGGAAAAAAGGTAGTTGGTTCTTCAAGAGTCTGCCTCCCAACTTCGTTCCGAGACTCCGCTCGAGTCTGTGAATCCCTAGAGGATGCGGGGTTTCAGATCTTTATAAAGACCTTGGATTAGACTCTCGAGAAGAGGCCGGGGACGTATTGTAGGGGGTGGGGAATGCCCGACGGTAAGAACCTAGAGCCTTTTCATCATCGCAGTCAAAGAGTCACGTGACAGCTTTGACAGCAGAGGTGGCTGACTTTAAGACTGAGCTTGTCATATGCCGAACCTGACATACGTCTAGGATCGATGCATGACATCACCCAACATTCGTATATCTAACAGATCCCGCCTCCGAGATGTACAAGGCAAAACTCAAGATCCAACTGTGTAATAATTTTTCGTATGCTTTATGGTTGCATCTAACCTCCTTGTTAGACTACCTACGTATCCTAAACAGGGATCAAGCCATTTGTAGTTCATCCTTTCACTACACTCGAATATTCATCACATAAACGGCCATGTCTCAACATAATACACAATTCAACGCGTGCAACATCTTAAGGAACAATTAACGAAGCACAACAATAATCTATAGCCATATTGGTCAACGGTCTATTATAATCATAACAATTACATCCAACAACATCTAATAATCACACCAAATAATAACACGTACAATATACTAAAATGCAGGGCTAAAGCGACAGAGTTCGGCTAAAGCCTACATCTCTGCAGC